TGAGCAAGAAGCACCTCCCACACATAGTGGCTCTTCCTGGTCACACATTGAGATGTGTGCGATTGGGACAGATAGAGGTCAGGGCTTCAATCCACCCTTGATTTACCACTTGTGCGGTGCGTACCACACCCAAAGCCCAAAATGGCGTATCTTTTCCCCTTTGGGTAGCGTGAGTCCTTCTTCGTACCGCTACTGTTTCTTTGCTTCCTTGGCCCATATTTTGAGAAGTAAGTCATTGGTGGAAAAGAATTGCTAGGATTTTGGGCATATTGTAGCGATGAGGACGACTAGGATTTGGCTTCTCTTTATATTATATGAAAACTTTTTTCGCTTCCCAACCTGCTGAAACCGAAGTGTTATAATTCGGCTAGACGAGATAAGATCGTATTCACTGTTTGAAGCAGAAAACTTATATAGAAAATCCATAGTGATATACCAATTCCTTCCCGCGGCCTTGCCCATTGGTATTTTGAAGTCGATCGTGCCAACAGAGAAAGTTTGACTCTCTGAACTTCTTCTTTCAATACTTTGATATGAAAGCTTATCCAAATCGCAAACAATTCCTTCTCCCCTGCAGGCAGGGCTTTCGCCGAACACTAGTCAACTAGGGATCCATAAGCTAGTCAAGTAATATTTAAAGCGGAAGCATAAGAATTTTAAGCGGGATTCTATCTTCGAAAGTAGAAACAATGAGAAACGAGATTTTGGTACAAGATATCGCCATGCTCATGCTACTCCCATGCCTGCTTCCCAGTCGCTGCTACTAGCCCTTTGAGTGTAAGGTTCCTAACTTTTACCCCGCGCTACATTTCCTTCTTCCTTTTCTACCGGGGATGTGCTCCTCAACCTGGACTAGAAAACCTATTATCCAATGGTGAAAGGTATCTTCCCTTAGCCTTTCAAGAAAGAAGACTGGTGCCCTCGTCAGATACTTAGGTTACGCCCCTTCTTATGGAATTGGATGTTCCTACTTTCAGTTGAAGTCAAGTCTGTTCTATGCTTCGTTGCCCCTTCTCACTTCACTATATGGGTGGGTGGTATCACAGCCTACTCTCTTTCTTCTTTAGTTTTAAGAAAAAGAAGGATTTTCGAAATCCTTCTTATCCTTCTATACAATCCAATCATGCAGTCTAGCTCTACTTTACAATTCTATATCTAGCTTTTGAAAAAAACCCCTGCCGCTGACTTACCTTTACCTAGCTGCTTATCTTGGCTATTAAACATATACCGGTGTATAAACCCAACCTTAAATATCTGATGCCTATCCCTTGTCAAGCTACCAACTACTACTTGTAAACTACTACTCACACACAAATGCATACTCAACGTCCGTGGACCAAACCCTTCATCTAAGAATCCCATATCTGCAATGCGCCCTTTACTTTTATGATGCGGATTGATTTTCTATTTAATAATGCGAAGAAAGCTTGAATCGTTCATAAAAAATTCCATTATGGGAATCGGGAATAAGGAAAAGCAAAACCAGAGAATAGCTTTAGTAATGTATCCAGGCGGTGGCCCAGCTATTGGTTGTTGGTCAGAGGCCTCCTCTATCCACTCGGAACTGATTCCTACAACGGTTACGGCAAAACAACGGCTTCCTTTCCACCAATACTCCTTGAATTGACGTATATGAGCGTAGTATCAGGTACGCCTGGGGCAGGATTGAATCCTGGAGGAATGAGAGGGAATAGACCTTTGATAAAACTAGTATTTCAAATAAAATCAAAGAAGAAAGTAAAGTATAGAAAGTGAAGAGGAAGACTCTCGGGGAAGAGAGGATTTCTAGGGTATTCCAATCCTTTGATTGCTTTCATCACACGTCCCGGTATCCTCATCCCCACACCATCCCTCCTTCACAACCGATTAAGTCACGGCGGAATCGAAAATGTCATGGTTTGTTACGATAAGCTCATAGCTTTATGCGTCATTTCGTGATAAGTAGAGTAGGTAAAGTAGTAGTATAGGGCAGCTAACTATGGAAAGTGCAGTCACAAGGGCTTGGTCAAGTAGCCAAGGTAGGTAAGTAAAGATAAGTCACGGATAGCCAAGAAAAGCACTGGTATAATAGGTGGGAGAATAGCCAAGATATGTTTTTTTAGAGTTAGCAAGGTATGTATGCCTGTATGGAATAGTGGATAAAGTAAAGGAATAGCCAGTTTAGCAAGTGAGTATGCTGCACGAGATATAAGTTTTGAATAGTTTTTTAAACCATGACTTTAGAGGAGATGTGCTGGCTCAGTTGAACCCTGGGAGAGAAGGATGAACGATTTATTTGCATGAGACTGTTGGCACTACTACTTGATTTTCTTGAACGAACAGCCGAGTAAAGAGTAACATGGCCTATGAAAGCTTGCTTTAAGTAGGCAACTATTCATTCTCTTTTATACTACGCTACGCCCTAGTTATCATTTTTATGAATTCATTCCAATATCGATGAAAGCGGTCCATAGGGCAGTGAGCGGGATAAAATGAAACAATGGAAGAAAGAAGAGGCGCACAGCGGGAAAGTATCCCAAGTGGATTGACTACTCCTGTTTTATAGCTTAGGAAAAAGATCACTTACTCTCTTCGGTCCTCCTCTGAGATTCTTTTTATACTTTTGATGCACAGTCTCTCGTCTATTTGCCCAATTCAGACTTGGTAGTTCCACGTATACACACGAAGTGGCTCCTTATCTGGAATTCCTTCTTTCGTAAGCTTTGTGGATGAGGGCGGAGCGAGGAAGGGGAAGTACACCCTACCGACCGCATGCCGAAAATGCATTTCTCCTTTGAATTACTCATTGAATGGAATTTCGCACCGGAAACTTTTCTAGGAGAAGTTCGAATCCGTTCCGTTCGGATATTGATCGGTCTTGGTTTGACATGGTTTACGCGTTACTGGTTCCCGGAAGAGTCAATTTCTCCATTAGCTAAACCCTTTCTTACCCTACCTTTGGACTCGTATTTTGTTCGTACACAATCAACGGAGGCCCCCCCGACATATGTTGCAACGTCTTCAATAGCATGCTCTTACTTCGTCTTTCCCTTAATAAGTCATCAAATTTGGTGCTTTTCGATCCCCAGTTGCTATGGGGAACAAAGGCAGAAATACAATAGATTCCTCCATTTAAGTGGTTCTCGCTTCTCCTTGTTCCTGTTCCTAACTCCTCCCCGGGTAGTTCCCAATGTTTGGCACTTTCCATACTTCGTGGGTGCAACATCAACAAATTCGCTCATGATCAAGTTACAACCTAAGATCTATGACTATATTATGTTAACTGTTCGTATTTTGTTCATTCCATCGGTATGCTCCCAGGTACCTGTAATTGTGATCTGTTTGCCAGAACCAAGGGGTCTTTCTGTGGAAACCTTCACGAGCAATCGTCGTTTTTTGATGGTTTTTCCGCTTATCACAGCAGCTCTTTCCACACCTCCGGATATCTGGTGCCAAATCGTCGCCCCTTTCCTTATATATTCGATAATCGAGTTTGCTATCTTTGTGGCATTGATTGTACAAGTTCGTGAAGAGGGCTGGACGAGTAGAATGAGGGAAAGCGGCTCGATCGAGAAAAAAGAGGAGTAGACTAGCCCCCCTAGAACTGAAAAAAGTCACTATCAATGAATTCCCGAGCAATTCTAAACCAACATATGCGATTCATTCCCGTAATGATTATAACAAACAAACAGCAGACTCCTTGCCTTATTTTCGGGATGAGTGATACATCCGGCGAGCGCCGGTGAAGAACGCAAGCAAAGCTGGAGCTCGGGCATTGAACTATTCCATCAAGCAAGAGAAAGGAGGCAAACAGGGTTGAAGGCCTGGGGAGCGAACCGAAAGCTCAGCTTTGCGGACTCTTCCTTTATTTAGTATAGGCAAGTCAGTACCCTCAAGTAAACTCCCTCTCCCCATACCGATCGAGTACTAAAGCTCTATCCTATTTCTGTTCGATCAAAGCGAAATAGTGGCTTGGCTGTCCGACGCTTGATTCTCCAGGTTCGGTTTATCCACGCTTTGTTTTTAGATATCGGTGCTCAATGCTTGTGACCGCCACTCTTCATAAATAGCTTTAGCTCGGGTTGACTGTGTACCCATAGGCTTGTTTATTAGGCTCATACAGACAAACTGGACATCTCGCCGACCTACAACCATACCAAGAAGATCCCTTGATTCTGCTTCCGTCTATCATTCTTCTGTAAGGAAGTAAAAAATCGGGTTGGTTAAGCAATTGGTAGCCCCCGGATGAACGGTAGAATCCATCCATAGATGAATAGAAAACTGTACTCATCAGGGCTAAAAAAAGAAAGACTAGCAGAAAGAATATCGAACCCCCTCGTAGAGGATTCCAAAAATCAAAAGAAGAGACCTCGAGTCAGCGCATAAAGAATGGAATGGTACATCACCACCATTATTAGTTAGAAATCCATACCATTCACTGAAGCACAGGCCCGAGATCGAGCGCCAGGGTCAAAGCCTTGATGACCGGTAAAGAAAGGGGTCGGCATAAGATTCTATAAGACTCGCTTGGTCCATCAAAGATAGAAAAAGAGAGAATTAGGCAGAACCACCTATCAGCATTCAGACTTAAGAAGACAAAAAGTTCGTACCAAGATGAGGCATCTTTAGATGGAGAAAGAGAAAGTCTGGCAATGACCAGGCTTATACATCTATCAGTCGTGAGCTCAAGGCAAGACAAGAACAATTCCGCAAAGCCTTCGTCCAATCCGCAAAGGAGTCAGGAAGAGCCTGATTTTAAGTAGGGGCAAGGGGGAGCTTGGTTGTTTAGGATAAGCATGACGTTGACTCATTTTATAGAAATGCCACATTTGAACCCCGCCTGTTTAAAATAGATACAAACAAGCTACCTACATGTCAGTCAGGTCTGAAAAAGCTACATATATATATCAACTTGCTTGTTACATATAACAGTGAATATCAGTTTCATTCATCTCTGGGTCTCTAGGAACGAGATCCCTTCTTTCCTTTTTCTTTGTATCAACGAAACCTTTGGATTGTCTTCAATTGGATGGGGGAATCCAATTGACAGCCTCGACTCGTATCCTAGCTCGTCTGAGAGCTAGCTTCGCTTCAACCAATTCTTTCGTACCCTCAGCTTTACTCAAGTTAGCTTCGGCTATTTCAAGTGCCTGTTGAGCTTCTTCTGGATCAATGTCACTACCCAGTTCTGCATCATTTCCTAAAATGATGATCTCATTATTAACTATTCTCGCAAAACCACTCCACAGAACCGCCGTTAACCATTGGTCGTTGAGGAGGCGTATTCTCAAAGGACCCATATCTACAGCTGTGTTAATGGGGGCGTGGTTTGGTAATACACCAATTTGGCCACTATTAGTAGATAAAATGATTTCTTTCACTTCACAATCCCAAATAATTCGTTTAGGAGTCAGTACATAAAGATTTAATTTCATTTCTTCAATTTGCTCTCCTCTTCTAAGTTTATAGCTTTCGTGCTAGCTTCATCGATGTTCCCCACTAAATAAAAAGCCTGTTCGGGTAGGCCGTCTAATTCTCCGGAAAGGATTAGTTGAAATCCCCTAATTGTTTCTGCAAGACCAACATACTTTCCTGGAGAACCAGTAAAAACTTCTGCCACAAAGAACGGTTGTGATAAGAACCGCTCGATTTTTCGTGCTCTTGCTACAGTTAAACGATCCTCCTCCGATAATTCATCCAATCCAAGAATTGCGATAATGTCCTGAAGTTCTTTGTAACGTTGTAAAGTTTCCTTAACTCTTTGCGCAGTTTCATAATGTTCGTTGCCAACGATCCGAGGCTGTAACATAGTTGAGGTTGAATCTAAAGGATCTACTGCGGGATAAATACCCTTGGAAGCTAATCCTCTGGAAAGTACGGTAGTAGCGTCCAAATGTGCAAATGTTGTGGCAGGAGCAGGGTCGGTCAAATCGTCTGCAGGTACATAAACTGCTTGGATCGAAGTTATAGATCCCTTTTTGGTAGAGGTAATTCTTTCTTGCAAAGAACCCATTTCTGTACTAAGGGTAGGTTGATAACCCACTGCGGAGGGCATTCTGCCTAATAAGGCGGATACTTCCGATCCTGCTTGAACAAAACGAAAGATATTATCGATGAATAAAAGCACGTCTTGCTTATTAACATCTCGGAAATATTCTGCCATAGTTAGGGCAGTTAAACCAACTCTCATACGAGCTCCCGGCGGTTCATTCATTTGGCCATAGACTAGAGCTACCTTTGATTCCTCAATATTTTTTTCATTAATTACTCCGGATTCCTTCATTTCCATATAAAGATCATTTCCTTCACGAGTCCGTTCCCCTACTCCGCCAAATACGGATACGCCTCCATGAGCTTTAGCAATGTTATTGATTAATTCCATGATGAGTACTGTTTTACCTAAAAAAAAAGACTCCAAATAGTCCGATTTTTCCTCCACGCCGATAAGGAGCTAAAAGATCGACCACCTTAATACCAGTTTCAAAGATAGAGAATTTCGTATCTAACTCGATAAAGGCAGGGGGCGGATCTGTGAATAGGGAATGTTGCACTAGTATCTACAGGACCCAAATTGTCAATAGGCTCCCCAAGAACGTGAAAAATTCGTCCGAGAGTAGCTCCACCGACTGGAACACTGAGAGGAGCTCCCGTGTCAATCACTTCCATTCCTCTCATCAACCCGTCTGTAGCACTCATAGCTACAGCTCTAACTCTATTATTTCCTAATAATTGTTTTGTTGTACCTCACAAGTAACATTAATTTGCTTATCATCGGCAGTCTCTCGACTCTTGACTATCAAAGCGTTAGAAATCTAAGGCAACTTGCCCTGGGGAAAAGTGATATCCAGCACGGGTCCAATAATTGGATTTGATCAATACGCCCTGCGCTTTTTTCTTCAATTGTGGAAACCCGGGGACGCTAAGTAGTAGGATTGGTTTAAATAATTATCACATAATTAGAAAAATCAAAAAGAAAGTTGGAAACCGATATTAAGTAATGTGAAATCAAGTAGGGCTGCGCGTGACATTATTAACGCTATACGAGCAAGAAAACGGATGCGCTAACGCGCAACGGCTTTCTAGCTAGAGCGAGGAACTACGGCATGTTTCGAGCCAAGAAGCGCAAAAACCTTTGCTTGTTTAATGTTTCGAGCCTCTTCGCTTTGAATTAATTATTTTAACTAGTCCACTAAATCGGGGTATTTCCTTGGCCGTAGCTGCGCTCCGAATTCAATAAATCATATTTCAATACAAGGGATGAAGGTATTCCATTGGCAAGAACGAGTGCTTTCGCTTCCATTAGGATCACTTTCATCCGACTTTCCTTCACCCTCCTAGTGAAGTGTAAAAATGCCTAGTAAAATGCTATCTAGATGGAAGCTATCTTGCTTAGTGGATTTCTTTTTAGCCAGTTGCTTTTTCGCTCCGCGCCTTCCTTTACCCTGCAACTTGAATAGCTGGAAGCCTGCCCTTTCATACTTCGATACTTAGATAAGTAATGTAGCAACCTTTTATTTTTAGAGTTCCAGGGATAACACCCCGGTCCATTTGCATTGCATCAGGATCAAAAGTCACAATCAGTTACAGCCCAAACTCGCCATTTTGGTTGGTCAAAAAACCATTAGAGTTCTGAAAAGTATACCAACCTCTTTTCCTGAAGCCTACCGAAAGAAATGGAAAACCCTTCTACATAGGTATTATACCCGACTGATTTTACAGGTCAACCAGGTGAAAACGATTCTGAGTTATCAGCTTCTCCTGCCATAAATTCTTGCCGGAGCTCTTGTCAGCTGTTCCAACTTGGTCATCCGTAGCTCGCTCCAGATGCTTGACCGGGCATAGTATCTTCCAGTTCGACAGCATAAGCAACACCCTTCTCATCAAAGTAGACATGCTGCGCCATGCCCCATTCTGAAAACAGAGCTCATTTCTCAATTTCCACAAAGCCCACAAGGCTGCCGAACTGAACCTGGAGGTTTTTTGTCAAGCCAATCCTCCCTTCGTCTCCTCAACCATATGTAGGCTTTCGATCGCCTTGACTTACCTTCGATTCTTCTGGACCGCCGGACAGGTCAACCTTTGAGCAGGACTGAAGAGTTGGACTGGAAAGCATACTTTATGTGATTCCGGAGGCGCCTCACCACAAATGCCTTTCCGTGACCCAAGCTACTTTACAAGCCTATTTGTAAAAAACCTGGAAACTACTTCTCGTGATGAGCTATCTTATTGGCGGCTATTAGTGACGTATACCGTGCAAAAAGCCTTTCCCGTTCATATGCCTACTTGACGACTTATTCCTGTCCCAGCGAGGAACTACGGCATGTTTCGAGCTAAAAGCTCTACCACAACAATGAAGAGGGGCCATTGATACCCACATCCCCTGAGGAACTCAAGCAAGATCAAAGTATTTCTCACACTGTCTTGTCCATCCTACTGGATTATCACCCTCAAAAAAAGTAGGAAAATCCATTTTGGGCCTGGATATAGTTAAGCTGAAAGACCTATCAGATTCAGTGGTTCACTTCTCCTTCTCCAGTTCCTTACTTATGAATTGGGTTCCAGAGTGATGTGGTGCAGGGATTTCAAAGGATGGGGCTGCCTCAGTAAACACAAACCCATGGGAGTACGTTAGAAAGATGTCTTCAAAAACGATGTTCAAAAGCCGTATCCATGACAATGATGTCTGCCTTATGAGGCTGTCTAATGGGGCGCATCTCCCCCGGCTTATGTGGTTTAGGAATGCATGATCGATACATCGAAGAGAACTAAAAGGAAGAATTCTTTAATGACCTCTTAATCTCCTCCACTTGGGACTTGTCAAGAACTTCAAAAGTAGAAAACTTTTCCCAAAGCCAAAGGTAGTAAATAACACATAATAACATCAAAAAAGAATCTAAAAATTATCTTATCCTCCTTTTAAAAAAGAATAAGTCTTTCAGACCTTTTTTTTACATTTTAAACTCATGTTCATGGTCTGTTTTATTCCCAATTGTTGCCCGTGTGAAAAGAAAGAAGAGAAATTGGGCCATGTTTCCCGAGAGAGACTGCCTTCTCTCAGGCCAGCAGTCTTATACTTATAGTCGACTGCTCTATGACGATCTGACCTCTTTCCTGGGCTCTGCTCGCTCGTCTACGCTCCGACCAATTCAGTAAAAATCGAAAAAACGATGTTTCCTTGAAAAAGTCTAAGAAATAGTAGTAGTAGTAAAAAAGTGCACTTTTTCCATATATTTAGATTTATAGGGATCCCTATCTTTATCTCTATCCACAGAGATACCTATCTATTCTATATAGAGAGAGATTTTTCTAAAAATTGATCTAGACTATCCTCTATCCGGATAGATATGTCCCTATGAGCGACTAGGCCGATCTTTTTTTATATGTTTTGGCCACGTCCGTTTCCGCTCCGAAGAGGAAGGTTTGGATCTTTCAATCTTATGTCGTGAGGGATGTGACCTATGTTAGGTCCATAAGATACCACAGCTTTTAGTGTTCTATGATTCACCTCCGAATAATGAGTAGGTAGTTCGATCCTTTTTGATTCTTATCTTCCTAGTAAACGGGGATCCGGAGCAATAGGTCGAATTTCTATATAATTTTGTTGTGTAAACAAAAGGGCTTATTGCTCTTTTTCGGTTTTCGTTTTCCTCGATAACTTTGAGGATCTCCTCTACCCTTCCTCTTCCTCCTTCCTTCTTATCAATTCCTCTTCCTCCTTCCTTCTTTTCCATTCCGCTTCCCTATTGTTCTTATCAATTCCTCTTCCTCCTTCCTTCTTTCCATAAGAAGAAGTATATTTGAAATGAAACAAATTCCTCTTCATTCTGTTGTGCTCAGCGAAAGGAACTGCCTAAGCATACTTTTGCGGATCCAAACTTCTTTGTTCTTTCTAAGTCTTCTTCTTGCATATAAGAACGCAACTCTTGCAAAACCCGGATTTGAGTAGTAAGCGGCATCCCCTCTGAGTTGTGAGTAAGCGGAACCATTCTGTTTTGTTCTTCTCCAGATTCTGACCGGTAGGAATTTGCCTATGATTTTTCCAACTGATATGTCGATATAGAAAGATCTCCTTATTTCTTCACCGCAGGTTCTCGCGTCATTTTCTTTAAAAGATATT